AAAAGCCCTGCTATTGTCGCCCAAGTTACCGAGCTCTGCCAAAGCTATGATGAGCTCCGCCGGCAACGTCTTGTCACTCGCCATGCTGTCCCACATCAGGACTCGATGTCCGGCCTAACTCCCTTGCAAGACCCCGTCCTCCTCTCGCAGATCAAAGATTTTGTGCGCGAAGAAGTTGCCCGCCAACTCTCGCTAATCTCTGGCCTACCGGAGCGCAGTGCGCCGCTTAGCCCTACACTATGGACTATTATACAAGATCAAGTGTCTGAGGTCCTTCCTCCGCAGCTGGTGCCACCAGTCAATGCACCATTGACGTACGCCGAAGCGGCAGCACGGCCACGACCACAGGCGTTCCAAGCGCCGCCTCCACTGCCTGCTCCTGTTATGCCGCCCAGCCGCCACGACCTCCTGTCCGCCGAGTCCCTAATCCATGGCGCACTATCAACAACCAACTGATCTGCTTTTCGTGTGGTCTACCTGGACACGTCGCACGTCTGTGCCGCCGCCGCCCACTCCACTCATGTGAAAACCCACGTCCTTATGAGAACGATTACACGTACACTCCCTACATTCCAGACCCTGAATTGTACACTCCTCGACCAAGCCACCGACCAGCTCTTGATCACCGATCTCTTTCTCCACGTCGACGCTCGCCCTCCTCGATGCGCCGACGCCCCCCTACAATCGACGCGGAAAACTAAATGATGTGATTCGTGAGGCAGGAACTGCGTCCTGGAGATCACGCAGATATATATTACAAGCCCTCTTCGTTCGCCGCCGAATGTAATTAATGCCGTTCTTGAAGATGTACCCGTACTTGCCCTTATTGATACTGGTGCCGCAATTTCTGTCATCGCCGAAAAATTTTGCTGTTCAATTCAAAAAGTGACAACGCCTTACTTGGGTTCATGTTTTCATACTGTCACTGCACAGCCTGTGCAGCCTGGGCCGCGTGTACTGCCAGACTTGTAATTCAAGGAGTGCCCTACACAGTGCAGTTCGTAGTACTCCCGCACTGTTCTCATGACATCATTTTAGGTTGGGATTTTCTCTCCCATCACCAAGTCGTCATTGATAGCGCCCGTGCCGAAGTTGTCTTTTGTCCCCTTGGTGACGCGCTACCAGCGCACAATCGCCCTTTCTACGCGAAGTTGGTCATTAGTGACGACACCCAGATCCCTCCACGCACTACTGTCTTCGCACCTGTGTCGTGTTCCGCCATCGTCAACGCTACCGCATTCTTCACGCCTTCCGCTGCTTTCGTTCATCGCCACTTATCACCCCTCCCAACCGCTCTCCTTACTCTTCAAGGTGGTGCGACCGACGTGCCTGTGGAGAATTCGTTCCGATTCACGATTACGCTGCTTCGAGGCGAATGTATTGGTTCGATAGAATCATTCGAAACCATCGCTACACTTGACGTTCCTGATGGATCATCGGAAGTCAGCGCCCTCTCCTGTAGTTCCGTGAATGACCCTTCCACTACCAACATTTTCAACCGTGTCATCGACGAAGGCCTAAACCCTCAACAGAGATGTGAGCTTGACAAGTTTCGGCCATCTTTTGACAGTCACAGCGCTACTTTAGGTCGAACATCTACCGTATGCCACCAGATCGACACAGGTAATCACCCATCACTACGGCAGCGACCGTACCGTGTTTCACCGACTGAACGCCGTGTCATCGATGAACAAGTAGGTGACATGCTAAAGCGCAGCGTCGTTCAAATATCAAACAGTCCTTGGGCGTCGCCGGTTGTTTTAGTTAAAAAGAAGGATGCAAGATATGCTTTTGCATAGTTTATCGTCGCCTAAACAAAATAACACGAAAGGATGTTTATCCTTTGCCTCGAATTGATGACGCCCTCGACTCTTTACAAGGCGCAGAGTTCTTTTCCATCCTTGATCTACGCTCTGGGTACTGGCAAGTGCCAATGAATCTGGATGATAGGCCAAAAACTGCCTTTGTTACACCAGACGGCTTATACGAATTTAACGTGATGCCATTCGGCCTATTGAATGCGCCGGCAACATTTGAGCGCATAATGGACACTATCATATGAGGCCTCAAATGGAACACGTGTTTGTGCTACTTAGATGATGTAGTGGTATTCTCGCCCGATTTTCCCACGCACCTTCGTCGCTTGGAACAGGTTCTACGCTGCCTCTCTGCAGCAGGCCTCCAACTCAACTTGAAGAAGTGTCACTTTGGAGCACGCAAGCTGACCATTCTCGGACACGTCGTGTCAAAGGATGGCGTTCTTCCTGACCCCGCTAAGCTACGTGCTGTTCGCGAGTTCCCGAGGCCCGCGTCTTTCAAGTAGCTGCGTAGTTTCATTGGGCTTTGCTCATACTTCCGCCGCTTTGTCTGGGATTTCACCTCGATCATGGCACCTCTGATAGACCTTCTTCAGGGAGACCACAATCTATCTGCGTGGTCTCCAGCCTGCGACAGTGCCTTTGCGAAGCTCCGTGAACTGCTTACAACACCACCCATACTGCGTCATTTCGATTCAAGCGCTCCCACAGAAATTCACACAGATGCTAGTGGTGTCGGTCTTGACGCTGTACTCGCCCAACAAAAGCCTGGTTACCAAGAATATGTTGTTGCGTACGCGAGCCGCACTCTTACAAGAACAGAAGCAAATTATTCGGTAACTGAGAAAGAATGCCGAGCGATTATCTGGGCCATTAAAAAATTTCGGCCTTATCTGTACGGCCGCCCTTTCGATGTTGTTACCGACCACCACGCGCTCTGCTGGTTATCCTCCCTCAAAGATCCCTCCGGACGCTTGGCACGATGGGCTTTACGGCTCCAAGAGTACGACATCCGCGTCATTTATCGCTCAGGCCAGAAGCACGCCGATGCCGACGCTCGTTCGCGTTCGCCTGTTTCTACTGATATTGCGAGTGTCTCCATCCAAGACAACTTCCTTCCACTATCAGGACCCATCAACATGGCTGTGGAGCAGCGCAAAGATTCGTGGATTGCATCTCTGATGGATTACCTATCTGAAACACTCGCCCACCCGCCATCTCGAGCGCTACACCGACAAGCCTCTCACTTCGCCATCCGTGATGGAATACTTTATCGCTGCAACTACCACCCTGACGGCCGCAAATGGCTACTCGTCATACCCAGGCATCTCCGCGCCAGCATATGAGCTGCTTTCCATGCCGATCCGCAGTGTGCACACGCCGGTTTGTTTAAAACCTACGCCAGGCTACGTTTTCGGTTTTATTGGCGCGGCATGTACACATTTGTTCAAAAGTACATTCGATCTTGCACAGAGTGCCAGCGCCGCAAGCATGATCCTAGCCGTCCTACTGCACCAATGCAGCCGTTACTGTTCCCAGTGCGACCATTCGACCAGGTTGGAATAGGCCTTTAAGGTCCTCTACCATATACATCAGCTGGGAATCGCTGGATTATTGTAGCGATCGACCATCTGACGAGATATGCAGAAACGGCCACTCTGTCAGCCGCGACGGCACGTGACGTTGCATCTTTCCTGCTGCAACGTTTTGTTCTGCGTCACAGTGCTCCACATGAACTTTTGAGTGACCGAGGCCGTGTATTTCTCGCGGATGTTATTCAAGAACTTCTTGCTGAATGCCATGTGATTCACCGCTGTACTACCGCATATCGCCCACAAACAAATGGCTTGACCGAGCGTTTCAACCGTACTCTTGGCGACATGCTCTCTATGTATGTCGCCTCCGACCACACCAACTGGGATCTTATCCTTGCCTACGTAACGTACGCTTACAACACGGCACCTCAAGCGACGGCAGGCTTTTCTCCCTTCTTTTTACTTTAAGGTCGAGAACCATCATCTCCAATCGACACCATTCTCCCCTGCCGACCCGACTCATCCGAAGGCACACCAGTTTCCGAAGCCGCGCAGTATGCGGAAGAATGTCGGCAATTAGCTCGCAGCCTTACAACACAAGAACAAGGGCTATAGAAATTTCGTCACGATGATGGACGGTCCAACTACCGGTTTTTGCCCAACTCTCTTGTCTTGTGCTGCTCCTGGTACCTCTACAAAGTTTGTCAGCAGGTACCATGGACCTTATCGCATCATAGAACAAACTTATGTTGTTAACTACCTCATCGAACCTCTCACGGCCACTGTGGACCTGCGTCGCCGAGGCCGCGAAATCATAAATGTGGAACGCCTCAAACCGTATCACGAACCACTTTTCCTCACGACACTTTAGAACACTTACTTGGCACCATCTTCAGCGAGGGGGAAATATGTAATGATGAATGTAGTGGGTCATGCAAAACTCGCTCGGCAAACACATTGTCAGTGCTAAGCACGAGACGCTCGGCCCGGACGTTGTCGCTGATTTCGCTGGCTAGGCCTACGCTCCTATGTGGTCTCGAATAACAGTTCTGACTGTCTCAGTTCTTTATTATACTGGCTATAATTACGTGAAAAGCATTTTAGGTCCTGTATTACTTTGTGCTCTTTATAACTGTGGCTGGGCATTATGAAACAGTCACCAAATAAATAATCAGCACACGCTCATGCAAACTAAACTTCCTGCCATGGTAAGTGAGTCGTTAGATACTTAATTAATCAGAAAAAACAAGGTGTAAAATTTTTGGGTCAGTAATTCATTTTTGGGTCAGTACTTCTTAAAACTGCACTGTCTGGCAAATATTTGCTGGTGCAACCATGCTGATAATTTAGAAAGCTATTGTGTCCCTTCCTCTTGCAACTTCTGGCACTACAATGTAGCAACATGCACAGGTCATCACATTAACTAATGTATAGTGACGTTTATAGGAAGCTGGAGGAGCCAGAATTTTAATATGAATGAGAAATGGAGCACCTAGTAATACACTCCGTGCTGGAAGGTGCTGCACTCGTACCTGTGTAGAAAGCAGTGGTGTACCACGTATGTCCTGTTGATCTGGATCAAGTCACTGTGCATTGCTTGTCAGGCACTGACAACTTGCATTTTTTTACCCACTCTTCTCTGGTTCAGATTATCGGTTTCTCGAAGAATCCTCCAGGATCGTTGACACTGCATGCAGAACCAGGCCAGCGTTGGGTGTGTATCCACAACAGAAGAGCCTGCCTGGAGTGAGTTATGTATTATACTCTGTGATTAGTAAGTTTTTCATGGGATTACTTTAACATGTCTCTTCTTAGTGAATACTTAAATGAATCCTTAAAGGGACATTGCAATGCTGTTCCATGTAACCATTAGATGACGCTCTACAGAAACATAAGGCCTCACAAATCTCGTTGCAACATTCTTTTCTAATCGGTCGAGTACGAAGAGGGCTACTTACAGGGATTTATTGTGACCTCCATAGCGCTTTTTCTTCTCTCTCGTCTCGACAAACTCATTGGAAGGTTCAGAGAAATGACTAGGCAACAGCAAGTTATGTCAGTGGTTATGGTGGCGTTGGGCAGTTTAGATGAGCCCTCTGCCAGCACATGGCTGCCATGGTACCTAGGTGGTGCAAGCACAACAGCTGTCATGCTTAAGGGGACTGTCTACCGCTCGGAAAAATTTTTCTGATTGTGGTGCCAATGAAAAGATTTTTCCTCACATCGGTGGCAACAAGCTTGCCTTCGTGCCAGAAAAAAAGAATCATAATTTTAACTTGATGCTGAAAGTCGATAAAAAGTGACCACTAGTGTAAGCCAACATCGAATGTGGTCAATCTCGACAATCAATTGGTAGGACGAGAAATAGTCGCAGGTAGAATTATTTTGCTTAAAAACAAACACGTTTAACTTGAATTTGTATTTTATGCGCTTGAGGCAGCTTTGTATTGCGCCAGAGATCAATTTTTGCTTTTTTTTTCTCACACGCATTCAAATAGGCACAGGTGGCGCTGCCAGTGGTGTGTTCGTTTGCCTGCCTGCAAACGGCGGAGAAACGCGACCACGGCGTCTGCCGCTGCTCATGAGAAGAACAAAAAATTGTGTGTGTGTCTAAAATGAGCACTGAGGTAATTGTTTTATGAATAATCAAACTTGATGAAGCCTGCGAAAACCGTGCACGGTTTCAGTTTTCGATTTTCACCAGCACCCACCAGTGTTGTCGGTATTCATCCTACCGATGGAAGGAGACATAACGGGGACAGAAAAATTCTGTTTAAAAAAGTTCTGCGCTCTTTCCAGAGGAACCGCTGCAAGGTTAGACACTTCACGTGGTATGCTTTTTATTGCGACACAATACAGGAGAGCAACGAAGGACGGTAGACAGTCCCTTTAAGTCTGTCCAAACTCTGTGAGAACTTAGTGCCTATTTGCTTTGTCCTGTGTCAGATTGACCCTTCAAATACTAGTCAAATCCAGATAGCACATTTTGAAGGAGGTTCTATTGATTAAACACCTTGTGATGTCTGCCAAGGTTTCTAGCTCACGGCAGAGTTCTTCAGTCATACTGGCAATGGAACTCTGTTCCTAAGCCTGGACATGCCCATGAACAGATTTGCAAACGATTGCGAAATGATGCACCATGTGGGAGTCACGACAGAAAACGCACCACATCACATGATTGCTGCAGTCTTTAATGTTATTGTGGAAGTTTTTGTGGTAAGAATATGAGAAGTACTTTTAAAGAAAATTGAGGTGTTCTATAGCCACAATGTCATTTGCAAAACGTAAGCCTCAAGCATAAACCTACTTCTTGCTTTGTCAAAGTGATATGACTTGCAGGCTTGAGCACCTGAACACAGAAAAATTACATTTATTGGTTTGTTTTACCATCTAGAGATGACGCTGCAATCAGCAGGTGGTTGCGATTCGGGCTGATGGCATCTCTGGATAGCTATACATTTAACGTATGGGAAATTTCACAAGAACAGACACTTTGGAGACTTTGTAAGAAATCATGATGGTATTTAGAAGTGCATTTTTTGTGAAACACAGGTTGTGCTACACAAATGACACAGGTTGTATTTTCATTGCATCTATTGTACAGTAGTGGTAGTGTAGACTTGCTTGTGTGCATTTGTAAGCTGTAGACATTTGTAGGCATCAACAGCAGGTAGATGAAAATAGCAGGCTCTTGTGAAATCACTTTTAGCTTCACTATATGATGAAAATAGCAGGCTCTTGTGAAATCACTTTTAGCTTCACTATATGATGCATTGCTGTTTGTTGCAACTGCACAATGGAAAGCTCAGGTTGACTGCAGCAAAAGATGCATGATGGTGTTTGCATACCAGAGACAACAGAGGAAGAATACAAGGCATTGGGACCTATGGAAAGATTAAAAAAAAAAGTCATATCTACAGGTGAAGAACATGTTGGCCATGTTGAGTGAGATGAAAAGCCGGTCCAATACTACACAAATTACTGCAGGGAAGATAGCGGAATGATTGTTTCGATGCTGTTCTTGTCATTTGAATTATGTTGAACCTGTCCCGATGTCTTGTATTTTGATGTTTCTGTGTAATACTGGACCTTTAATATTGGCAGAAAAAGTATTGGGAATAGAGTGGCGATCAAGCTGTAGGCACGCATTATAGGGATCCTAGGTGAGGTGATTGTAAGTGTACTAAAATAATGACTCTGTGTGCACTGTGCAAGTTAAAACAAGCCATGTGGGGTTATCATCAAAGTAGGCGGCGACAGTTAATTTGGAATCCATAGGGATAGCATGAAAATTATGTTGATAGGAGGTGTAGCTGCAAGTTGGAATATAAAGAATGGTTATTTAGCTTTTAAGTTGCTTTTGGCACCCCTGTACCATCTATTAATGTGGAGGCAGGTGACCTTAACACTCACAAGAGGAAACAGCTAAGTTAGCAGGTTCGTTACATTTTGGGTTGAAAGGCAGCATTTTGGGTTGGAAGGACGTGCGGGCTGAAAAATTGCAATTTTCTTGGGGAAATATTTCTGGTGATAATGACTGCAGAATTAGGCTTGGCCAATAATTCTTTTATGTAAAATATTTTTCAATGCTAAGCATAAGATTGTCATTCTTGCATCGTCGCTCTTGCTGGTATACTTGGGGGAAACTTATCTCGACTGGCGAGGTGGGGCTTCTGCAAATTCATGTTGCTCTGCAAGTAGTACAGCAGCTTGCGGCTGATTTCGGTCTTGCTCGCTGGCGTCGTTGATGCATTTGCTAAGTTATATGCATGAAAAATGTTAATGGGAGGGACATTTAAATGGTCCAGGGTACATTTTAGTGTCACGTAGCGAGTATATTTTAGTTGGAGAATTAAACAGCGCATTGGTGGCTGCATACTGACCCACTATGTGTACGTCATGGACGCCATGTTTACTTTGGAAAACAGATGTGCTGAAAAGGTGGTGCTGTCTATGAAATAGAAAGAAAAGGAGGACATTCTTGCAAGGGAAACAATAACTTTATTCTGTCTATGACTTTTCGCAACTGTTTGAGTCTCATAATAAATAAAACAGCGTTTATTTCAGCAAGGGAAATGAGAAAATTTATACGAATAAAATCTATTCTCCAGCCACTTATAGTCCAAAGTTTCCAATATTGAAATTTAAAAACTATAAACTGACCCGACGTTTCTGTACCGATTCGGTCCAGTCTTCAGAGGTGACTGTTTGGCCAGCTACAAAGCTAGCGACTTTTTTTGGTGGTGTCCCCCTTCACCATTATCCTTATTCCTGCCGTTCCCCTGAAAGAGGGACCAAACCGGTCGTGAAACATCAGATCAGTTTATAGTTTTTAAATTTTAACTTTAAAACTTTGGACTATAAGTGGAGAATTAATTTCATTCGTATTAATTTTCACCCAGGCAGACAGATATCTGCTGAATATGTTCATTTTTAAAATGAGAAAATCGCGACTTAAGTTAAATACTATTTTTTGGCGTGGTAGCAGGCATGCACTTTGTCTCTGTAGCTTCCACAGTGCTGTCAAGAAAAGTCATAACTGAGTATAGGTAGTTGGGAAGCCGCTCTTTGGAGCTCCAAGCTCGCCGACCTACTCTGGGCAGTCCAGCAGGCCCGTGAAGCAGCGGAGAGGCAAGGCCTTGACATCCCGACATGGGAGATCTGAGCCTGGGCCATTACTCTGCCGGACAATTAATATAGTTTTTCCATCCATCGATTCATATAGGTAGTCACTGCTTCATCTCTCAATTTGCTTTGTTTTCTTGCTTCCTGTAGTTCCTGCACAAGTTCCAGGCAGAGTGCAGGCGACGTGGCATTATACTCAAACTGTTGCCTCGCTGCTTCACCAAGCGTCAAGAGAACAAGTCTCAATATAACTTCCGTGAGCGCTGTATTTACTGGCATGTGGCTTGGGTCTTCCCTGCGGCTAATATCAAGGTTACTGAAAGCGAGAGGTATGTCTTCGGTCCATATTTTTGTAGTAGTGCCTCTATGTCTATTGTAGGCCATTGCATGTAAAGGACATGATGCAGTAATAAGTCTCATAATTTTAGGTATGTATCGCATACCTGAACACGATGCATGTGTTTACTTTAAATGTTTCAATACACATCAGAGGTGGTTTAGGGGCCCTTTAAGTTAAAGCCAGCCCCATACATTAAGGTAATGTGGAGGGTGCCGAGATGGGGCGTAGGAGGGACGCAAGTCAGCCTCCGTACATTGACATGATATGGAGGGGGTTGCTGCGTCGAACCTTTGCCATTTCCTAGAAGGGGAACCCTGCACACGCTTAAGTACTTAATGGTCATTGTATACTACGTTTAGTGTGTAGTTAGCCGCGTTTACACACATGCCCATTGCACATATCTGCACATACTTCCTGGAAATTCATACAAATGAGCCCGCAGTCTAGCCCGCTTATAACGAACCTGAGCGTGATGCGGCATTCATTCGCTGTATCTCGAAGTTCATAGTAAATGAAATACAGCTTTAAAGAAAGTTGCACAAAAATTTTTTCCCCAAAAAGTCGTGATGCACGTGTTTCGAATAGCCATAGTGATAAGGATGGCCTCGAGTTTATTTAAAGTTGCAGCGTGCTCTTTGCCGAGGCCCGTGGCTGAGGCTATTAATGTAGCCGATTGCTACAAGCACGCTTGTGGCCACTGGCTCCAAAGTTTCGTCGTCCTCGCCATCTGGTTCCTCCAAATTGCTCTTACAGTGTGCTTCATTCACAATGCCCTCATTCGTGCACGATTGCGCAGTGTCGACATCATTACCGGCCATAATGAAATCATCGCAACAGATCTCCCGCACGCCCTCCCATGGCTAAGTCGACAACGCGCTGTCATAAATCGGCGCCGGAGTGGTCCTGTTCGGAAGCTTCAGGCTCAGCATCAGGTCTGACGTCGGCGAAATCAGCCTAGCGAAAACAGTTTTGCACACACGTAGCTCTCACCACCGCCCACGAAGCCTTCATCTCCACAGCTGAATTCAGGGACACCCTAAGTGGCAAGTTAGCTTCTGGGTGGTCAACAATTATGGGCAAGCACTTGACACCGCGGCACCTATCTTAAGGGGGGGCGCGGCAAGTAAAGTGCCGATTTTGGTCAAAATATGCGATTTTCTGATTTATTTTTTTTCGTAATCTTCAGACCTTCAACTTCCTTGTTCTAAAATATTACAGCGAAACGTGCGCTACAAATCCCGCAAATAGTGTTTTTGCCGAGGCTAGTCGCCGAAAAGTGCGAAAAAAAAGCCCCTGAAACGGTGTTGTTCACGCCGCACAAACGCGCCAAGTTGTTGACCGTGGGCCGCCATTTTGGTAGCTTTGGAAAGAGGAGAAAGCCGGCTTCCCGATGGTCGCAGTCTCGTATTTCGCCGAGTGAAAATAAAAGCGCGAGGAGCAAGTAAAAAAACGAAAACGAAGAACGGCAATTGGCTGCGCGGGTCACGTGGTAGCAGGCGCGACCTCTTACTGGTCAAAGCTGCGCCGCGCACCTTGGCAACCTTGGAAGCGCGAGCGCATCTGCGGCCGCCGAGTCGAGAATCATCCGGCGTGCGCTTCGTTTTTTGCCAGTTGGCTGTTTTTGTGATAGTTCGCGTGCTTTTTTTACCAAGCTTTGTTTACATCAGTGGTCTCTTCTGAGTGCTTGCTCATACTGCGGTGCTATGTTGTCGCAAAAAAAGTTCCGGAGCGTCCACAAGTACGGCAAGCGTCGGAAAGCTTGGAACAAAGGGCAGACGACTGCGGCTGCCGTCCCAGTCGCAGTTCCGGACGGAGCATGCTCTTCAAGCGTCACGGAGCCTCTACTCAGACCCTTCGCTGATTGTTGTGAGGCCGAGAGTGTGGAAGGTGCCACATCGTCGTATGTCAGACCGCCGGATGCCGTCGACCGTGATGGACGCTCTCGCGAACCCGATTGCGGTGGCACCGCGTCGGCAGCCGTTGCAACTCCGGGCGTGCGCGCGTCGAACATTCTATCGCGAGTTTCGGCCCAGATTCCGAGCAGTGAAGAAATCGCGCAGCGGGCGCAGACAAGGCGGGATGTTTTGGATGCCGTAGCATCGAAGTCCGCTTCAAAGCGGAAGCTCGAGCTTCTGAACGAAGGCTGCGACGAAAATGACGGCGGTAAGGACTCCACATTCTTCATTGTAAATAAGAAGATGCTGAACGGTCTGCTTTCGTCAGTAAAGTGCAACAAGTGCGACGAAGGGTCGATACGCCTCGAGACTACGCACTGCCTTGGACTCGCGGCGAGGATGGAACTTTTTTGTGACAATTGTGGCATAGTGAACAGTGCGTGGTCGTCCCCGAGGTGCTCCGGGCAACAAAAAACGAACCCCTTTGAGGTAAACGTGCGTGCTTTGAGGGCTGTGCAGTCAGTTGGCAGAAAACAATCTGCCATAAATGACATTTTTTCTGCGATGGACATTTCGCATCGAGCACTGCACCACAAGTCCTACCAGAGACTGCAAAGGAAGTACAGCCACCCTGCCACCACATCAGCTGCCACCCGCATTGAAGCAGAAAGTGCACAGAAGGTGCATGACATTTACAAGGACCTAGGAGGAGTGCCAGGCAACATTGACGTCATTTACGACGGCACGTGGATGACGAGGGGGCACAGAAGTCATATTGGCGTGGGCTGTGTAATCGAGCTGTACACAGGCTTGGTCTTGGACCACTGTGTCCTGTCCAACTACTGCCAAGGCTGTGCTGTTGGCCCCAAGCCTGGTGACGACAACTATGAGGAGTGGCTTGAGAAACACAAGCCACAGTGCCAAAAGAACACCGATGCTAATGCAGGCCAAATGGAAGTAGAAGCAGCGAGGATCATGTTTGAAAGATCGTTTACCAAGTACAAGCTTCGATACATCAATGTGCTCTGCGACGGTGACAGCCGTACGTACCTTGCCCTCACGCAAGACAAGGTGTATGGCTACATGTTGATTAAGAAACAGGAGTGTGTGAACCATGTGAAAAAAAGAATGGGCACTTCCTTGCGCAACCTTCTTGATGAGCACAAATCCAAAGGCCGAGGACTGAGCATGGGTGGCAAAGGCCGGCTGACGCAGGGCCTTATAAAGAAGTTGAGGAATTATTATGGCTGGGCCATTAAGAGCCACCCCAACGATGTTCCTGGCATGGAGAGGGCCATCATGGCCACTTATTACCATGTAACATCCACAGACCAGGATCCACACCACGACCTGTGCCCAAGTGGGACTGACTCCTGGTGCCCGCACAATCAGGCATTGGCCAAGGGAGAGCCGCTGCCGCCTCACAAACATAAACTGCCCCCTCACGTGCGAGTGGCACTGCTGCCAATCTACAAGCGCCTCTCGAACAAAGAGCTCCTTGAAAGGTGTGCGCAGGGAAAAACCCAGAACGCTGTGGAGAGTATGAACAGCCTCATTTGGTCACTCCAGTCCAAGAGCCAGTTCGCCTCCCTTCGAAGTGTGGAAAGTGCAGTTGCAGATGCAGTCTGCCATTTCAATGGTGGCTGCAAGAGTGCGCTGCAAGAGATCACTGCTCAACTGGGCTTCAATCCAGGAGACTGCTCTTTGCGGCGAGCAGCCGAAAAGGATGCCAAAAGGGTGAAGAGGGCTCAAAGGCGCATTGTTCCACGACAAAGAAGCGCAAAACTGGGTTGCGCTCTACAGAGGCCAAGGCCACAGCATCTCAGGATTACTGCCCAGGAGGATTCTGAGTGTTTTAGGCATGTTGTGAACTTCCAAACAAGAGTGAACTTTCAAAGTCGGTTTTCTCAACTCTTGATTTTCGCCTATGTGCCTTCGCTAGAACATCTGTCATTTTTTAACAAAGACTGATAGAGTCGTTCCGTTTTTTGCACTAGGCTCAGGAGGCCTTTAGCAGTGCAATAAAGCTTTATCTCTCTTCTTACTCATCATTTAAAATTTTTAGAACACATTTTATAATTACTGCGATGTGTGCGCAAAACAACATCCATGTTTTGGAAATTTTATTTATGGTTACAAGAACTAGAAAAATCAACTAATAGCTTCTTTGCACAAGTTGATGCTTTGGGAACATAATAATATGAAAAAATAATTTCATTTAGCAATAATTATCTCTTTAAGTGTGAAGAGCATTAATTAGTATAATTATGCTTGTAACTCAAAAAGTACAAGAGGTATTTGAAAACGGTTTTCATATTTGGAATCCTCACAATCATCCACATACACACACCAAATTTCATCACAAACAGTACATTAATAAAAAAATTAGTTTTACTTGCCACGTCCCCCCTTAAACGTGCGAATTACGTCCAATCCAAGTGGTCACACTTTCGACGTTTTGTTGAGCGGCAGAAAAAAGCTCAGAAGGTTTCCCGTCCGCCATCCTGACCACACACGCTCGCCAACAGGGAGCCAGACGTGCATGCGCGACGTAGAAGCCAGCACGCATAGAACTTCTCTGGGCCCATTTCTACTCCGAAAATGAAACTTCTGAATTTCAGCCAGCGTGGCTGGCGTCCCGGAGCGGGTGGAGATAGGCGGAGTTGCGATAACGAGCGAGAGGCGAGCAAATAGTGGTGGGAAGAAGACTTTGAAAACCAAAAACACGCGGGAGGAAGCCAGGTCGGGTAGCTTACTTGCAGGGTACACGAAACGTGCAGCTCGCACGTAGGAAAACTTAAGAGAGAGGTCTGCACGCGCAGAGGTCAAATAATCGCATTGTGGTGGCAGTGGACTTGCGCAGCCCCGCTGATTTCAATAATTCATGATTCGTTCTGGGTAAAAGCCGTTTTTATGCTTTTGAACGCATGCGGAGGGAGTGGAAACAGGTCCGAAACACGGAACGAATCAGGAATTGTCAAAGTCGTTGGAGTAGCGCTACCCCTTGCATTCAAACGATACAACACCGATGCAGACAAGACCAAGACGCACACTATCTTGGCAAATGGTCTGGTCGCTCCAGGTCAGCGATGTCAACGATAGTGTAACAAAACCAGCGATCAACAACTGAGGGGAGACTATAGTTGGCCGACCGGTCTTCGAAAGATCAGTGGCAGTGTGAGAACACGGGCCTCATCTGACGATGCAGGGTGCTCAGAGTAATGGGGGACAAGTTCGTAGGGGTGCATAACAAAAAATGGCTGAGGAGAGCGACAACTAGAGGGGTGCGGAGGCAGGGTTGGCGTTTAACAATAAGGATCTAGGGGAACCTCGTCGATGGCTTATTGATGGTCGAAAATGGTTTCCTGGGAACTCTCTGTATCTGATTGGCAACACTCAAGACGTTTGTTGTAAGTGCGATATTGTGACATTGAAATAATGTATATTTCCACAGTCACGCGGGATCATTCTTTTTAAGCGAAAGTTCGCTTTAACTGCGGCAGTTATATGTGGGCTCGACTGTACATGCGTATTGAGTTCTATACAGATGGCTCTAAGTCAAACTCTTTTGTGTCCTATGCACCTGTCGGCCCATCCTTTTCGGATGCTGGCGCTCTACATCCAGACACAAGCATCTTCACAGTGGAAGCTTACACGATACTTGTGGCTGCTAAACACATCAAACAATTAAAACAACAAAGGCAGTAATTTACACGAATTCCCTTAGTGTAGTAAAAGCTCTGCAAACTCTTAAAAACACAAAAATACTGCCCTTGTCTCACTTTACTCACTATTATTCACATTCTGCTCACTCAAACAATATGTTGTAGTGTGCTAGGTGCCAGGGCTTCGTGAGATTCAAGGCATTGTGATGGCGGACCAGCTTGCTGCATCCGTCCATGAAAGCACTGCCAATATACCTGTATTTATCCTGGTGCTTGACCTGAAACCCTCTCTCAAACGAAAGCTCAGAGATTACTGGCAGAGTACATGGAATAGACACACACAATACAAAGTAGACGTTTTCAAGCTACACCTTGGTAATTGGCCACTAGTATCGAAATCACGTCGCAAATAGGTAACATTTACAAGACTAAAAACAGGACATACACACACTACGCATTTATAAATTTCATCTAGTGGGTATTTAGTATCCACTACTGTGTGACAGATGTGGTGAAGCACTAACAGTGCTTCACATTTTAATCCAGTGTAAACAGTTAGACATGCTAAGAAGACGACACATTCCATTACCCTACCGACAACACATATCACTTCACCCTGCAATGTTCATTGGCAGGGTGAACTTTTAACTCATAAAACAGTGTTGGCTTTTTAAAGAGATGTACGCACTTTTCCTGTAATATACCCAGGCTTAGCATAGTGCCACCTCTGAAAAGAGGTTGCTGCTGCGGTGGTTAAAGAGAAAAAGCACCTGTTTCGCGGTCCTTGGGCACAAGAGTGCTGATGAGACACTTGTGGTAGTGCCAAATATCTCCGCCATACTTTTATTATCACAACCTTTCGCCGCCCTTTCTCACTCCACATATCATGTCACTGTCATAATTTTATTACTTTCCATATTTGTTTTACCTGCCGTAGCATGAGGAATTTCAAGGCCCTCATACAGCCACTCAAAACATTCATTGTTCACATCTCTTGTCCTATGACCTGGCGCTATTTGGCCATCAAATGGCCCTTGTGCCACAAAACACCACACATCATCATCATAGCCGTGTTCCCGGCAGGTTCTTGGCATGTATGTGTCTATTGACCAGGTTTTATTGTAATGAGCTTTGAACGTGTGTGTGTGTGTGTGTGTGTGTGTGTGTGTGTGTGTGTGTGTGTGTGTGTGTGTGTGTGTGTGCACACAGTTATGAACTTCATGCTGCAATCAGCTTGTTGGTGCAATATTTTTCACTGTCTTATGTCATCACTTCTGTACATAATCCTACTTTTGTTTATTATTGTGTTAGTGTTGTGGACTTATTGCTTCTGTATAAATGATTATGTAAACTAAGAAAACAATAACCTAAATTAAAGCTACATTTTCTTCCTCTGCGTGTGTCATGGAAAGCCCCTGCGTGCTCCAGTGGCTGCTTCAAAGTGCTGGAAGGCATTCCCACCACTGTGAGGGTTGAAATATGCAAAGTAATTATTTCAGAGGGAACATGACAAATAACATAAACTGTATTGCAAACATGCATGAGTAAGACTTCTGCAGAAGTTTTCTGTAACTTGCATAGCATCTGGGTCATTGCAGGGATGCTGCCACCGCACCAAATACTTTGGAATGTGAACTGTGCTAATATTTCCTGCTACATTTTTTGCAGAATGTGTCGAATTTGCACCCAAATTGCGTCAAAGGGTATGCTCTAGCTTTCATAAACAAAATTAACTATCACGAGTGTTAATTATCCCCATAGTATCGAAAGGGTCATTGTCAAGAGCTACAGGGCTTGTGGCACCTGCTTGAGCAAAATCGAGCTAAATCTTCCCGCCTGTTTATTCATCATTTGAGACACCCATAGCATGTTTAGTATGGGTTCAGTTCGAGCTTGGGTACGATGCACTCAATTTAGCTTTGGCTTAGTTTTGGTTTGGGGAAATAACTGGTTGACGAACTGGTTTGCCACAGTTAATGTTATATTCGCCATGTCACGCAGTGTTATTTGAGGTGGGGATAAGCTGGAATGCTTCTCACAGCACAACTCAAGGAACTGCACTGAGTTCCCCAGGGCTTCTGTGTGATAATTTCCACTCAATGTCTGCAATCTTTCATCAGAAAGTGGAAGAAATCGGACCATATGCAGATCAGAAACAGTGACTGATGTTTTTAATTTTACATGAATACCTCTGAATTATCTGCTACAAAAAATAACGTGTGTGGGAGTGTGTTTACTTCACCAGTATTTAACAGGTGGTGCAATAAACAGATGCCTCATGAAGTATGAAGCATGTACATTTTGCATGTCACTTCTGGCATCACTCTTCACTCAAAGGGAACTGCTTCCTGATGTGGAACGATTTGTAGCATCTGACCGTTGGTGTATAAGACGTTTCATATAAGAAAAGTTGAGGTTTTTTTCTCCACAATTTTTCTCATCTTTAAGAGATTAGTTATTTGGCTTCAACCTTTTCACTGCTATACTTTCCATAGAAAGCCTGATCTGTAATGTCACCTGTTATAGTATATTGTTTGAAACGTTAGGAGCGGTTAGGCAGTCATTTATCTTTTGCCATACAGGGTGCACGAGAAGGAAAGCCTGTCCAAGTGCCTGGAGAAGCACCTCACCTTACAAACATGTAGACCAGAGCTAAGGGGCCCACTGCAACCCTACATTGCTGCTGGAATATTGGGCGTCTCCGTCCTCCTGGCTGTTGAAGAAAAACCAGCTTCCGAAAAGTGGTGGGTTGCACACTGCTGTTCGCAGTGCATCTATCTGTTTGCAGTGCATCTATCTGGTCAAAGTACAGTCAAAGTACAGATTTCCATAAATGGAAATCGGTTAAACAGATTGGCTGCTTAAATGGAACAAATGCCTCCAGGACGATTGGTTTCCTACTTTTATTCTGCACCCCTGTTCATCTCTCAGTAAACAGAGCCGCTGTTAAACAGAACACATTTTCTTAGCACATTACAGTTCCATTCAAACGGGCCCTGCAGCACTTTTTGAGCATGGTCAGAAAACGCTGCTGATCGGTAGTAGAGGCTCCCGAGAACACGCGAGCCAAATATTATAGCGCAGAACGTGGCCTGGAATCCACAATAAATTATTCAAATAAGCTAGAAATTGCTTTCTCTTTTCTCAACAAATGACGGAAGAGGCTCAATGATCACTTGTAGAATGTCATCTACAGTTAAACCTGCTTATAATAAACCTCCATATAACGAATTTCTCGATATAACAAAGTTTTTCTATTCCCTGCCGTTGCTCTATAGAAGCATATGTATTTGCGACCTCTATGTAACAAAGTAACAGCGGGATACAACCTTCATATATCAAATTTTTCCCATGGACAATCTAAGAATATTGCTCCGCATTTCGTTACGAGCATGCATCTTCCGCGGCTGCCCTGCTGCCGATGAAGCGCGAAGCGGCACAGCACGCACGGCGCACCAGGTGAGAGCAAGCACTCGTTATCTTGCTCCAGTGAGCGTGAAGCGGGCGGGCGGGCCTACACTTTACGAGCTGGCGTTGCTGCCGTTCTCTCCGCCACAAGCGCATGCCCCCCTCCCCCACCACCACCTACTACAAACCAAAATTAAAAAAGAATGGCCCCGTATCTCTATGTTAATCTGCAAAAGTCGTCGAAAGACGATAGTCTTGCGTGTGGAGAGAGTGAACAAAACATTTATTTGATGTTCTGCGCAAGAAAATCGGTGAATGGTATTCTGGAGGCGCTGCGTTAAAGTGCCTCGAGCGCAACGTTTATAGATACTTTTTCAGTTTCGGAACTCTCCGCTTCGCCTCGGAGAGCAGGCGGCCGGCTGCAGTGCCCGCCATGGCCGCGGCGCTGCAAACCAAGCGAACAAGGGTCGTCTGCTACAGCTAGGCGTGGTGCTGCCGGTGAGCAGTGTTTACACAACACCGCGACTTCTTGGTTTAGGCACGAGGAGTATAACTTAGAGCCTAGATGCGTGTGTGGCATCTTTCCAGGCCCTTGGTCAAAATAATAGCTCATGTGTGGTGCTAGACGAACATTTGTAGATTGAAGAGCCGTTTTGCCACCATGTAACTTCTTGTTCTTCCAGGCAGTAGAAGTAAAATTTAGAGCTCAATTGTGCTACAAACGTCTTACCGAGGCCGCAGTAAAAGCTGTGACTCATCTGGTTCCAGCTTAGTTGTTTAAAAGCTATTTTTGCGAGTCTCAGCATAGGGATATTCGATGCTGGGCAAGCAGTTTTGCAGGGCCCCTTTAAATTTAAAGAAGAGTGCGGCAGAGCGGATTTCTCCTGTAAAGGTGCTTTTATGGTTCAGCACCCCTACACTTTAGTGAAACAACCCTTACAGGTGGTACACACGGATTAATATGCATCTATTCGCTCCTTGCGAATACTTCAAAGTTTTCAATAATTTAAATTCTAACCGATGCGAGTTCGAATACCATATTATTTGTTTGAATATTTGAAGCATTCAAATAAATGCCCAAGCCCACGAACGAATATTCGTGAACAGAATATTTGAGTTAGTTCAACTATTCAAAATTTTCGAATATGTGGTTATCGAATCGAATACGGATATTACAAAACCAGTATTCGCTGAATATTCGAAACTTTGGAATATTCACCAAGCCCTACTAAAAATAATAAGATCCCCTGACCATTGCAATAAATAACTTGCACTATTCATCTAGTCACAAAAAATAATAATAAGTACAGTCGAAACCCACAATAACGAAATGGCAGGGGTTTTTCACGAGAATTTTGTTGCACGAGTATGAGACATAAAAACAGTTATGACCAGCAGAACGAAAATTTATTGCCATAAGTCGGTCAACTTACTTTGCCGACCCTTGCCATGCAACAACTTCAAAGCTCTTCCTTCGCACTGGAAAAAGTGGTCCATTGCTACGCCGTCGTCATGTGCGCCGAAGAAGGAGCAAAGGGTGTCGAGCGCATCCAAAACAACCCGCGGGTTGTTTTGGATGCGCTAGCGCGTCGTTCCTGCCCGCAGTCTCGCTGTCAGCGGAGTTAGGGCTAAAGCCAACTCCGATGACGCGCCGCGCTCGTAGACCACGCGCTCGCCCGTAGTAATCTTATCGTCCATCCGGTGCGGCCACTGGTAGTAATCTGACCATGCCGCCGCTTGCAGCTTCGTTGCTACGACGAAGCACGTCGCCACGAGTGCGCTAGCACGTCGTTCCTGCCCGCAGTCTCGCTGTCGGCGGAGTGAGCGCTAAAGACGAATCCGATAACGCGCCGCGCTCGTAGTAACCTGATCGTGCATCCACCTACTGCTCCTAACTAAAGCGTAATTATATCTTAAGTGATCATCGAGCCGTGAACACGTCACGAAGTAGCAATTTTCGAGAGCCATGTCCTCGCGACGCACAAGGAGCAGACGACGATCTCCCGAAGTGAGCATCGGGCCAATGGGGAGGCGAGCTGAGGCAACATGGCAGCCACAGCCAATCAAAGGCCTCAAAACGACCTTCAGACATTTGCTTTTTGTGCACTTGTTTTTAAAGAGAGGAGTCAGCTGAGGCGTGAAAGTTAAACACGGAGAAATGCTCTTTCCGATGAGCCTAAAAATTGCTGTTTTCTTGCGATTTCCAGAAAAAGTTCCGCTACCTAGGTGGGTGAAATGAATTTTCCGAAGCACTTCTGCGCGGTTTTCAGTGTAGATATTTTGGAATCAGATAGAAAAAGGGTTCTAGAAACTGAAAACTTGATTTTCAAAAAAAAAAACACAATAGATTTTTTTGCCATTTTTCGCAATCCCAAAGCCGCGTCCCCCCTGAAGTAAACAAAAATGGCGGTACCCATGCTAGGGCGGCAAAAGCAGACGTTTATAAATTTTGAGTGCGCATAACTCGCATACGAGCATATTTTCGACAGTTAACCTTTGGCGGGAGGGTAAAATAAGGCCCGCACCATGGTAGAAAATTCATTAATGCAGGATCGCTGTCCAAAAACACTTTGTTGCCGCGAGATACGTAATACATGGGCTTCTATGAACGTTTGCCGGGGATTCAGAAATATTTCGTTGCCGGGGGGATTTCGTACTCGCGGGGTTTCGTTATTGCGGGTTTCGAATGTATAGACGTCATAAACAGCATAAGTATAAAAAATTCTTGTACATATCCAATCCCATAACTTGTCAGCAATATTTAAAACCATGACAGCGTTCGTGAATTTTTGACCACGATAAATGATGATCAGTACAAACGAACGTTAACAGCTCTCCAGCTTCTGAGAATGAAGCATCAGAGCTGAATCAAGCACCTCCAGCTTGCTATCGAAAAACGATCACAGACGACGAGGAATTTGGAGCTGAGCATATACATAACAATTTGTTTACGTTGGCTGTTCGTTAGCAATTATCAGAGAACTGTGGTGCTTCCCAAGAAAGGCAAATTGGTTTGAAAACACTTTCTCTTAACTGATGTCCAACACGTGCATGGGTACTTTGGTACTAGCGAGTTTAATGCAGCGATGCTACGCCAAAACAACAGTGAGCGTGTGTATACATGGCTGACAGGAGCCATCAAGACGGAGCCCGTGATGTTTCAAAGTCAAAGCTCTCACACTCCTGTGAGAGCTTTTATTTCTGCGCTGAAAAATACGTCTTGCATGTGTCGAATCAAGTACTGCTCCACGCTCGATAGCTCCTCCACAGAAAGTGGACCAGTTTGTTTGCCACTGCCTTGATGCTTGCACCAATGGACGAACCTCTGCATTCATGCTGTAACTCTCAGAAGCTTGTTAAGTCTGCTGTAGTGCTCCACTGAAAATAGCGGAGGCGAGGCTTGAATGGTAAGGAATACTTGATTGGCGACTTTCTCACAATTCAAGAATTCCTCACTCACTGTTCGCACTGGTTGTGATGCCCACATATGTTCAGGTTCTTGAAGCCAGCTAGGCCCATGCTACCACAATGTGCTCTTAGCTATCTGGTCGACAGATACGCCTCAGTTCTGCAGATCTGCAAGGTTGTCATTACCAGAGCATACTTCCAAGCAGAAGGCTCGGTTCACTCTTGTATCTCTGTGACTCTGTTGCGAACGAACTGCTTCCACTTCTATGCATCCCTTTTAAGCCATCCTCACTGCGGTGGTCTAGTGGCGAAGGTACTCAACTGTTGACCCGCAGGTCGCAGGATCGAGTTCTGGCTGCAGTGGCAGCATTTTTGATGGAGGTGAAAATGCTGTACGCCCGCGTGCTCAGATTTGGGTGCACGTTTAAGAACCCCAGGTGGTCAAAATTTCTGGAGCCCTTTACTACGGCGTCTTTCATAATCATATTGTAGCGATGCTGAGGCAGACAGGTTAAGAAAACAAGCGTATTTATTAGGGCGAACTTGTGCCCACGATTCTAAAGACTGGGGTGTTCAAGTCCGAGTAGCCGAGTGGCACAGATCCAACTATCTTCCTCTTCCTCGTTGCCGGAGCGCACGAACGCCTGGCGCATGCCAGCCGGGTCTTGCTTGTGCTCTTGCCACGATGATTGCGGCAGGCTACTTGAACGTGGCCAACCTGTCGCGACATTATCCCCCTCCTCAGACGCATCGTCCCGATGCTTAAGACAGTGAAAAGATACATGCGCACTCTCACTCGTTTTTCGACGATCTGTCATGATAGGGTTTCATGCGGACTACGTGTACCACTTCCGTGGGATTGCGGCGTCTTGAAGTCACGTGTCCAGCGGTTCTGACTTCATAAGTGACGTTGCTGATACGGTTGAGT